TTGATGCATTTGAATTCTGGTCTTGCCACCAAAGTGGTGTAACCTCTGGTGTCATCCATAAATCTCTATTCTGCAGTCAAGTTGCAATGGATATACCTTTACTTATCGCATGCATCTTTCCTGTCCCAAAAAGTCATCCAAAGTTGAGGTTTGTCTTTTAAGGAAGGTAGTTGATTTCTAATGGAGATAGGGATGCTGTAATGGCTTCTGAGGGATGTGTTGGCTTCTGAGGGTCATGTTACCTTCTGTGAGGGACAGGTTAGACATAGGGTGTGAAAATGGTTAGTAGCTATTACGCACTGTGCAACTAGAGATAATATACTACACTGAGAGTGATACCACTAAGCTAATTCAGTATCTCAGTGGGTTTTTTAATCTTTCCATCATTAATCCTCCTTGCCCCCTTTTTTGTTTCAACTCATCACGTCTGCTAGGATTTTGTGTATTAGGGAAAGGATTGTGTTTTGTGTATCTACATGATGTGTACACTCTTCTCAGTTCTCAGACAATATGATCTTGTTTTTTGACTTCTGTTGTTAACATCAACGCAATTTAGATTCAGAGTATTATGGCAAATTAGTTGGTAGAACATATTCGAAGCTGTATAAAACTGCTAGCTACTGAGGCTATACTTCATCCTTATGTTGCGAGTGTCTGGCTTTTTCCCAGATTGGTGCTTCATAACCACCAACACATTTTTACTAATCCAGGGAGGAAAAATTACAAGTTTTGTGCTAGTGTCTTATCACACAGGAGAAGGCAAAATAGTTTTATATCATTTTTTCATTCTTCCTTCATCAGAGTCTGTTCTGTTCTAAATAAAACTGCTGTTGCAGGGAAGCCTGCTGGAAGAAACAGAAGTTTTTTACCAAAAAACTCTTTCATGGGCTTACTCTGCTCCAGACATGCTCCCAATTTAATCTTCTGATCATCAAATCTACTAACTGGTCTGCTCGTTGGTCTTACAGCATGAATTCTGACTCGGATGAGAGGGGCAAGTGCCCATTTAAAATGCAGTACATTCTGTTCATGTCAGCACATGTACCTTCTGGAGCTTTTCCAAGTGAAAGATTGGCTTAAAGTTCATGAACCACAGTTGAACAGATGGTCAAGGAGTCTGCAGCTTGCCCTAAATTTTCAGCTATACAGGTTATCAAAGTTGCCTGTGTACTATCCATACTTACTGTAATTGGAGATTAAGCTAGAGCTGGGAGTATTAGCATTTCTTTACCTATGACACCAAAGTAAGTTGCTGTTCAAAGTAGATTATGCTAATTGTTTGATTTGATCAGCAGCAAATTGAACAGTTCAGATATCAGCATGCTTGTATTGTATGTAGGTTTCATCAATTCCAAATTATGCAAATTGGAGTATATTTGAGTCTCTTGTTTTAAGTTGCCTTCAGGTTTGGGCTGATACTGTTTTATCAGTTTGCTTGGTCCACATTTTGAATGATTTAATCAGAACTGTTAGGTCTGAACAGTGGGAGGGGAGTGGCAGCTTACCAGAAAAAACTAAGATTCATGAACATGACAGTACTCTCCATGAAATGTACTGATTTGCTGAGTTTAACCATTCAATGACAGTTCAACTCTATCCAAATGCTGTTTAATTAAGGAATTACCACACATGTGCTGGTGTCTCAATACAGCATGCTAATAGAGAACCGTCAGCTACTGAAAAACCTTTTTTTTTGTTTCCCTTTTTGGCTGTTTAAAAGGAGAGAGCTTTGCTTTCCAGAAGCTCCATCAGTTCTTTTTCACATACCTCTTCAACATTATGAAGAAAGAAAGAAAAGAACGCTTCTATTTCTTCATCTCTTTTTACTTTATTGATTCAATAGCTCAGCTGCAGTGATGCATTGCCACAAGAACAATAAAAAGAAAGGTGCTGTCATCTATTGTATCATTACAACTTGAGATCTGCTGCTGTTTTATGCACTCTAAACCAGCGGTTCTCAATCAGAATGCCAGGGCAGCGTGGGGTGCTGCTGGATCTCTTGAAGGGTGCCCTGCACAGGCTCATGCTTGTTCCTGCTGGCTGATTCCCAATTCCCACTGCCAGGGCCCCTCTTCAGGCACACAAACTGATCTGTAAATTAGTTTTTGAAGAGGGATGCCACTCAATTAAAAAACTATAGAGTGATATCTCAAGTGTAGTGAGGGGTCTCTTAAGTCCAAAACAGTTAAGAACCACTGCTTGTAAAGATGCAGAAACTTGAAGCATAGCAACTCTTCCTTTGAGTGTCTTTCTTCTACCATTTTACTAATCAAGTGGGCTGGCATAGAACTTATCTGGTGCTCTTGCGCCGTAACGAATATAAATCTAATAAAATACATCTAGCCGAAGTAGAAAAATAAGATATTTGAAAGAAATGCTATGCAACTAATATGGACTGGTGTATTTTAGCCTTTTTTGTGAACTGGGACTTTCTCTCTCCTTCTCTGAGGCACTGCCTAGTGCTTTGGGGGGCCCTAACTAGTGTTTGTAGTTACCTAGCTCTAATGGAATTAATCTTGTTTTTGTTTGGGAAGCAGTACATGTAAAGCAGCAGGAAAAGATCAGATGCTATTTATTATGCTTATTTGAATACAGTAAAAGCGGCGTTAACCAGCAAGAGTGGGGAATGTGGCATGCTGGTTATATAAAAATCCCGGTTGCCTGAGGCAGGAGTTTTTGGCCGGATGCAGGAGGGGGAGTGGCGGCTGGACACAGAGTGCTGGCAGCACAGGGTGGTGGGTGGCAGCAGCAGCTGCCACATGCAAGCTTTCTCTCCTCCTCCGCTTCCTCCTCCTCCCCCCCCGGGCGCATCTGGCCAACCAACCAGCCGGTTGGAAATTCCAGTTAATAGAAATGCCGGTTACTAAAATGCTGGTTAACAAAGGTTTTACTGTACTTATTTGAATGTCCTATTTGGTGGTTCAAATTGCAGGACTTCAACTTGGAGAATTCTTTTGGAGCAAGTAGCAAAATGAGTAGCAAAACCTTTTCCCAATGATTAGTTAATTTTGTTTTGTTCCTTGACTTTGTCCTTCTCATCTATAAGCTGGTTTAAGTCTGGCCAGGTTATGCAGCATACTTGCAAGACTGAAACTATACTTTAGTCGCACAACAGATGACATGAGTATAATATGATCATCAGGGATCCTGGTTCTCCCTGATGAAACATACCAAATTCTCTAATAAAAAACCTAAAATCTGTGATTTTAAAATTTTAAGGCCCTCCACAACCCCTCCACTGGCTGTGCTGGTGCCCCTCACTTCCCACCCACAGCCCCCCGGCCCTGCTCATGCCTCTTACCCCCACACCCCACAGCCTTGCCTGATGCCCCTTGCCCCTGCTTCCCCAGCCCTGCTGGAAGGGGCCCCTGGCTGCCAGGGCTACAGACCCGGGTCCTTAGCCTCCTGCCCCTACTCCCCCCTGCTGTGGGCTCAGGCGGGGCAACTCCCTGCCACTGCGAGCACTCTCTGGGGGTAGGGGGGACCTGTGCCCCAGATCTGTATGTGGGGCAACTCGAGCTCCCGCCTTGCTTCCCTCCCCTAGGACCTCTGCAGCCCTGCAGGCACGACCTGACGCAGCTGGGGACAGCAGGGCCACGCAGGGATCTCCTCGCTGCTGCAAGCTCCACCCCCCATTACCTTGGCAACGCACCCCCTGCCCATGCTGCTCCTTTGAGGGATGCAGCCCCATGCTGCTGCCCTCACTGCAGCCCTGTGCACAGGAGGCATGTCACCAGGGCAGTGCAGGACAAGCAGAGCTAAGCAGCTTCTCCGTGTGGCTCCTTTGCTTCCTGCTGTGCTGGGTGGTGCCTGCTGGGCTGCAGAGGCCCTGGGAGAGGGAATGGTGTGGGGGTATGGGTATGGAGTAAGGGAGCATGTGGATGTGTGGTGTGTAGGGGGCTGTGTTGGGGGGAGGGTGGCTGGAGTATGAGGAAGTGTGTGTGTAGGGGCCTGCATGTATGGCAATGTGAGGGGCGGTGTGGGTGCATGTGTATGGTGGGGTGTGCATGTGGGATTTGCCCTATGAACACACACACCCACTCCTGGCCCTGGAGTTCCAGTATTGGTCCCGTGCGCCCATGGTCCAGCCATGCAGCTGGCAGCCACGCGGTGCTGAAGCGGCTGGCGGGAAAGCAGGGAAATGGCAAGTACAGGCAGGGGGAGAGTGGGAGCAAGCGGGAGCGCAGGGCCTATGCCAGTTGTCCTGGGGCCAGTGCCAGTGGGTGCTCTGCACACCCACTCACTCCCACTCCACTGTGCCTGTAGCTGCCATTTTCCTCCTTTCCTGCTGGCTGCTCCAGCACCATGTGGCTCCCGGCTGCATGGCCCGACCATGGGACGCAGCAGGAGCTGGCTTGGCCCAGCCCCAGGTGCATGAAAACCTGAAATTAGACCAACTGAAAAATGACACCTTAATGTTGCTGTCTATACTAGTAAAAATGTATGCTATAAATGGCAAAAACCCTGGGCTTTATTAATCCAGGCCAGTGGTGCTCAACCTTTTTCACCTGGGAGGCCGGATGGGCAGTGCCTGGTCTGTCCATGGGCTAGATCTGGCTGGTGGTCCCAACCTAGTGCCTAAGACAGGCACAGCAGGTACCATCTGGCTGCGTAGAGGGGGGTAGGGGAAGGCTGGTCCCAATGTGGCCCTGCAGGGGAAAGGGGGTGTGGTCATTTCCACAGGGAGGAGAAGGGCCATAGCCCACCTTGATCCAGCTCAGTCTTGGTGCTGGGAAATGTGGCAGCAGGAGAGGGAGGGTGGTCGTATTAATGGCCAGTTTCCCCCTCTGCTAAATTTCCAGACATGATGGCTGCATTTGGCTGGTAGGCTGGAGGTTGACTACCCCAATCTAAGCTGTTGTAACAGGAAAACTTACTAACTTTTTATCTGACTGCATGCCAGTAGAAGAAATTTCTTTTGTTCTGTATTGCAAAATGTTAAGATTGTAATATTACTATAATGCATATAATTCACGCTGTTTCTTTTGGGATTTTTTTAGTGGGAGACTTTGAAAAGATCTGGCGTGAACACTGTGAGGATGAAGAAACACTCTGTGAATATGCTGTAGCAATGAAAAACCTTGCAGATAAGCACTGGGCAAAAACTTATGAAGGGGAAGGCCGAATTGAATGGTGTTGCAGGTAATCTTTTTCTGGACCTCTAAGATAGATTTTATTTTCTCTGTCTCTAAAAATTCTTTAGTCTATGCATAGTGTAGGAGTAGCTTCCTACCTGCTATACTTGCCTCCAAAATTTGTGTTTTTAATATGCGGTTGTTTTAGTAGACGTCAAATTTTCTATGAGGCTGTCTTGCATTTAAAATTAGCATGTGATTTCTCCTCCCCTCCTCTCTTCTTCCCTGCCCCACTGTAAATCAAGATTTAAGTTCTAAACCATTCTTGGGTAACTATACAGGTTTTTTCCTAAGATGCTGAGATTTGTTTTCAGGTAAACGTGCTATTGAGCAAAAAGCATAATTCATTCTAAATCTGTCCATAAGAACTAGAGATAGTATACTGTTACAACATTTCAGGTTTAATTTGTATAGGCTTTTAAAGGACTGGTTTGTAGCATATTGATTTATTAAATATGCTAGTTTTTGTATATTTGGCATATGTTCTGATCACTTTCCAAGGTATTTTTAAATATGTGTACATTTTTGTAAGAGTATATGGCCCCCAGAGATTTAGATGTTGTCTGACTCCATTTATATTACAGACTGCATAATCTTCTCCAGTTACCCCTAAGTAGAGCATAGTAACTGTGGTTTGACGAAAGAACTTCAATCCTCAGTTCTTAAAGTGTGTTCCACAAGCAGAAAGTAGGAGAGACAAAGGTGTCACAAAGGCACATGAATCTGTAGTTGTATGGAATTTCTTGGGTAACCAGATTATTTTATCTGGCCATGTGACAGGAAATGAAAATCTCTCCCATGAAAATCTGTTAGACCCATTTAGGGAGTATTCATCTGAATCCCAGTTTAACAATGAGTTTGATCCTGAGCATGTGAACAAGATGCCCCAGACAAGCATCTGAGGGCAGAAATTTTTCTGTACCACCTTGGAGCACTTGCTTCCTAACTTCTGCAGGTGACTGGCTTAAAGCCCTGAAGCATAAGGATTGATTATAGTTGTTTTAAAGCACAGTCACAATTGCTTTTATATATAAAAAATATTAACATCCTGTTCCCAATGACTTATGAATTAACAAGAGGATTCACAAATTCAGAGGCCAAAAGGGACAGCTGTGACCATCTAGTTCTTTACATAATTCCCTGCGACCCTAGATTTTAACACACTTTTTTCAGAGATTTAATCTAGTCCTCAGGACTCCTAGTAATGGTGCATCTATCATTGCTTCTGATAAACTATTATAATAGTTAGCTATTATCATAGCTAGAATATTGCATCTTAATTCAGATTTGAATTTCTCTGACTTCAAACATTTTATCTTTGTCTACAGGGCTGAAATCCATCCGCCCCATTTTAGAAATACCTCTTCCAAATATTAGTATCTATGCCCAGCAATCAAATCATCTTGCATCTTCTTTCAGTTCAGCCAGTTTAGCCTCATATTATGAAACAAGCTTTACAGTCCCTAACTTTTTCTGGGACACTCCTTTGAACTTTCTCATATTTGCTAAATGTATCTCCAGTGTCTATACTACAAGAAATTTCTAGTAGTGGTTATAACAATGCTTTGTACAAACTCAGGATCAAAACCTACTTGTATAAAAAGATTAAATGTATCCATGATACCATAGTCTTTCACTGAGCACTGATGTCAAGGTGGCTATCTGTGGCTATTCCCAAGTCCTTCTTTGAATCACTGCTTTCAACAAAGTTTTCCCATTTTCAGGCATAGTCTATATTCAGTGTTCCAAGGTGTCTTATTTTGACTTTGACTTTGGACACATTCTGTTGAGTTTTGACCATTTAAATAGATTATTTCAATTATTCTGTAATGGAAACTTGTCCTCCTTTACTGCCCCCATTGCAGATGATATCAAGATCAGACTTGTTAGCAAAGATGTAATGTCAAGTTCTGCATCTGGTTTAATAGGATTTAAGGCTTGCTTAACAATGTGAGGGTGAAAAGAGGTAGGTGAAGTGGATCTGGAGTTCTGTGGAGGTGGAATTCCATGTTCATTTTTCTTTTTAAACCCAGTCTGGATGTTTTTGTAGTGATGGTTGGAGGGCCACAGATTCTTCCATCTAAAAATACTTTGATTTTGGAAGTTGTAAATTGCATGCACAAAATTGGAGCAATCGTGTGTGGCACCTGAGTCTCAAAATTAATTTGTTTTTCTAGAAAAGTACTTGGAATTTGCAGGTAGTAGAAGAAACTGCATCCAATAGTTTTCTCAAAAATCTGATATTTGTCATGGTTCAAACTTAATTATAATGCTTAAAAGCAGTGATGGAAGACTTGAAGTTAGATCCAGCATCAAATGTGTGTCCTGTCTACTTGGAGATGCAATGCCTTTAATTTATGGAAAAATAGATTGTATAAAGATTTTTTTTTCTCAGCTTGAATATTTTTCTGTTAATTAGATTCCCTGAGTTTGTTAGTAAATAAACCAGAGGTGCCCAAGAATCAAATGTAGTCTATAGAGTCCTTATTTAATCTTCCCCTGCCACCACCACCCCAAAAATACAGTGATGGTAAAAACTAATCAATGATTAATTTATTGTTATATAATATGTAACAACCATAAACTTCTAAAATATCAAGGAACATGCTACAAACATACTAGCTGTCAGATTCGTTTTGCTTATGCATAGGGAGTCATTGTTCTGCTTTCTAGAAGAGTGCAACAATCCTAGATCCTATTGAAACCAGGTATTTCATGGAAATTTGACTAATCCCTTTGATCAGCCTCAGTGAAGAGAAATTAGTGATGCTTGAATACTACTGATACCTGGTTCTCTAACAGGCCTTAGGCTTCATCATCAAAACAGTTATAAAGCCAAGTGATAGTACAGCAAGTTTTGTGCCTCTGTAAAGAGAAGTAGTAAAAATTGAATTGAAAAATGGATATCAAGAAATGGGTGCAATACCATTCCTACACTATAAGGTTTATTTTATTAAACGGTGTAGTCAGTACTAGATATATACAGTAAAACTTAGAGGCAGAATTAACCTTGAGGCAAACAGCTCTTATGTTCTAATTAAGCATAACAATTTGACCTTCACATGCCAACTTTTGCCAAAAATGATCAGTGTGACATGAAGGCAGATATTTTACTATTGTTTCATGTGAACTTCTATTTTTCTAGAAAAAAATTGAAAAACTTGGGTTAGAATGAAGATGAAAACATCTGCAGGATGATGGCTAAGGTAGCTGAAACAGGAAGGAATTTTTTTGAAATGTTAACTTTTTTACACTGACTGGATTTGGCAATTATGAAAGGCATAATCTTTGAACTGTTGATAAGCATATCAACCAGCTGCCATATAGCCAATATAGTGTAATATTCAACCCTTCTCATTACCGTTTCAGCAATAACTCACTCATTCTGTTGGGTGTTTTCCCTTGCCTTATTATTTTATTGCAAAAGTTAAATGATTGGTCAAAATGGAAGGTACTATTTTTATTAATTATGGTATTGTTACCATAAGACCTGAATAATGCATCCTTTGTATTCTTAGGGTTAAAAATGACTCATGTTTGCCAGGAAAGTACAAATAAGAACTTGATAGTTTGATAGATTGATTCAGTAAAATACTATATTCATGGTATCTCATCTGGCTTTAGTGAGAGAACAAATTAAACTGGAAATCTAAACTTTATTGATCTTTTTTTTTCTGTTTTGCGTGATGGAGAGATTAGCCTTTTATTTTATGCATAGGGAACCACTGTTAGGAAAACAAGGCATGTTTATATTAGAGATCCCAGTGTTGTTTCTGTTGTTGGTATGACACTTCATGCAAGTCACCTTGTCTTTTTCTAATTTGCAGTTGTGTGGCATCCATAGATAGATAATGGAACTGCTATGCTATCATGCTTTCCTACTTTATGTATGGACTTGTTGAAAAATACTTTGAACATATTCTACCACACTGAGTTTCTTGAAACTGTCAAATTTGTGCAACTTTATTTTGGAAAGAATAGTAGATATTGAGCTACAAGTAAGTTGCATATAAACTCTTGAGTTCTGAAAAACAGTGCTCAGATACCTATATTTGCTAAACCTCTAAGTACTTTAACTGTATTTAATCAGACCAAACATTTAATTGTGCAACATGATTTTTTTTTAAGACCATCACATCAACTATAGCTGTGCAGTTACAGAAACACATCCCCATTTCAACTGATTGTAAAATTAATTTACCTATACTGGTCCCCGTGGCTGGGTTATCCAATACATTTACGCATACAGTATGTCCCCAGGTAAAACGTGCAACTTCTGTTTAGAAGGCAAAACATAAAGAATTATTTTTCTGGAGTCATGGCTGACTGTGACCTTAGAGTAAGTCATCCTGGGAAACGTAGAGCGTTAAGGAAGTGTGGCATCAGGAACTTCCTAGTATGTCAGTCTCCTGGGATGCCACACTTTGTGGACACTATTCCTGGGAGGACTGGCTTACTCTGTCATTGCAAGGGCAGTTCCAAGACTGTTAGCTCTCTTTATATAAGTACCTTTAAATAAAGAATTGTTTTCACATCACAAGCATCATCAAGACACTACCCAGAACTCACTTGCTACTTTGGACAAAGCTACCATGCTCAGCCAATAGCTATGGCTCTGACAGGGTTAATGCTGCATCATTTTGCTGAGCAGACACCAGCAGTAGCCATCTTGGTGTTTGCATGTCATGCCTGGTGTCTCCAGATGTGCTGCTTTTCCAGTGAAGAAGACAGCTGTCCCACTTAAAATGCACATCCTTATTTTTTTGAGGGGTGGGAAGGTGTGAGAAAATATGAGATTTCTCCTTTGTGTTAAGTGTCTTACCAGGCACTTACCATGCCTCGTTCCTTCTGGAGACGATAGAGCATGTGTGCATGTGGTGTGTGTGCGTGTGCATGTATGTGTTTGCAGGATTGGAGCAAGATGTAGGGGAAGTTTGAATTCACTTCAGTTGTAATCCTGATAAAGGTATACTAATTAGACGCATGGTCCTTCCCCCTTGAGAGTTAGGCTCCATTTAAACTTGGAATTTACCCATGTACCTCACTTTGTCCAGCATTTAATGACTTCCTTTATCAAATCATTTAGAAAAAAGATTGCCATTTCATCTGTGCGCCATGTGGAAAATGCACAGAAATTAATAATATAAGTAGCTTTTGAAGACTAATAGAAATAATGCATTTTATGTGTTAGGCTGGTTTCTAGCATTATGCATTTTTCTCTCAATATGTACTGTCATTTTTAATGGCGGACTTTGTTACAGAACTCCAGTGCTTTTATTTTTGTTTCGCATAGTAAAGCAGATTACATTTAAAAGTATTTGTCACCCATATTTTATATGGCTTTGTCCTGCTGATACAAATTAACAATGTTTTATGGAAGTATTCATTGTATGAATTCTTGGTGCAATCAGGGTTTTTTTTTAAAAAAGCAAATCATAGTCTTATTTTAATTCTTAAGTACTATGGAAATTCCAAGTACCTTTTAGTCTCATTTATAACTCAGTTTCATCAAATTGCATCAAATACACTAAAATAACTTTTGGGGGTTTTTTTGTTTTTTTTTTTTTTAAGTGTGTGCAGAGAATATTTTCAAAATGGTGGAAAAAAGAAAGCACTTGAAAAAGATGAGAAAAGAGCACTTCTTGCCTCTAAGACCACGGCAGCCTTAAATGTTCACCAGACTCCTAAAACTGAAGATCCATTGCCCAACTTCAGCTTCACAAATCATGAAACCATAACAGAAGAGTAAGTTGTAACTTTCTTTTTACTATGACGGTATTTTTTTTTCAATTTTGTGGATTTTCAATACCTTACTATATAAAATCAGTCTAATCCAACTTTTCTAGGAAAGAAGTTCATGAAAGAGGAAATATATGCACTGCTATAGTATTTGTCAGTAGGTGATGATTTAAAACTAGGTTGTTTTTTTTTTTTAAATATAGCCTGACATTGACAGTTAAGTCTATTTAATTTAACAACCACTTCCTCAAGTGTAAAGTTGTTTAACTTCTTTAGTGTTCTTATGTACAGACCGAAGAAACATTGTGGGGAAAAAAAGTAATTAATTTGGAAACTGAGGAAACCAGTCCACTTTATTTTAAGAAATATAATATGGATGGTAGGTGCCTTATGTTGGGTTTCTTCTTAAATAATCATGGACAAGGATTTTTTTATCTTAATTGTTTACTTTTAATTAACTATTTGATATGTAGCATTAACTTTGAATTACTTAACTTTCTGTAATATTTATCTTTTAAAAATGGGACATTTTTCTAAGGTATCTTTCCTAACTGTTCTGCTTCTGTTCTGCCTTGTCACTGCCCTGCAATCCCAGACCTGCCCACCAATCCTGCTGCTGGATGCCACTTCCCACCTGCCCATGGTCCCATCCCATCCAACTCGCTGCATGACCAGGCCTGGGCAGGTCCCAGCCAGTTTCCATGGTGTCCCCATCTGCCTGCTCCATCTGGTGTCCCCAGCAGTGGCTGTGGAGTAAATTGACTGAAGTGGCTGGGCAGCAGCAGCTGTGGGGACTGGTAGCAGGGGCTAGCAGTGGGTCTGGGAGTGGCAGAGACTGGCAGCAGCACCAGGAAGGAGCTGCCACTGCTGGGAAGTGAGTCTGGCTGCTGCAGCGCCCCAACCCCACTGCATGTTCAGGGATGCTAGGACTGGCTGCATGTACCATAGCCTGGGCTGCCTCCCGCACCTGAGTTGGGCAAGGCCAAGAGTTTCACCACAGGCTATACAAAATCCCTTGGTGGTATTATAACTTCATATGTATTTCTTTACCTCTCTGCAAAAGTTGTCTACTTCATGGCACTACTCAGATGACCTTATGAGGTCCCTTCAAGCCCTACTTTCCTATGATCCTAAGAAAGGAGGGAGAACTGGGTCAACTTGTGTCCCACAGGATTTTTTATCATGATGAAACTGAGACCACATGTGACATTTCTATCCAAAATAGCCTTGCAGTTCTATTTTAATCAAGCTATTTACTTAACTGCATCTTTTCCTAAACAGCATTACATTAGCTGGAATTATTTATTAGCTATTAAGAGGACCATTTTTTATCTTTGCTGACAGAATGAAAGGTGGTACAGTCTGTACCCAAATACTCCCAGAAATGGATCTCTCATTGTATTTTACTTATTTCTGATATTTAAGAATTAAAGCCAAGGCCTATACAGCTTCAGTTGCTTTCTTTTAAAAAGCCTCCTGTCATTGACGTGCAAAGCAGTAGCCTGGTATTCTGTACATAATGCTCATAAAGCATTAGGCTTTAGTACATCTCCTTTGGATGCCTCTTTTGGCAGGGTATTTCTTCAGTCCACATGACAAGATTGCAAACACCTGTCTACTTCCTTAGCTTGCTGCTCAGGAATCTCCTGCAGTTAAATGCACACAAGGACAAACATTTGAAGAAGAAAAGTTACTTGTCTTAATTAACGGGAATTTTTAAGCATGATCTGTTTGTGTGTATTCTACTACCTGACCTCCTTCAACACAGTCATGTTCTACTTGATTCTGGAGTTCAGGAGAGAAGAAACTGGATATATAGTTGATTCTCAAAACACCTTTTCTAGCCACAATGATAAGAGGGCTGGAGCCCCATGCACAAACCAAGTGATGCTTTTGGCAACATTTTCTGGTTCTAGCTGTGCACAACCTATGATAAGAATCTTTTCTATCCTTTGAAAAAGGAGGCAAAGTACCACTCATGGTATACCTAAGGTAACTAGCCAGAGCTGTGGACTTTCTAGAGGGAGGTTTAAGAAGGAAGGCTGGGTAGATCTTGCAATGAGAAATCTGTTGTGGATTAATTATTGTTCTTGTCCATAAAAAAATGTTGTCTACTCATTAAACATGTTTGTGTATTAAGTTGAACTTGCTGACTTTAGTGACAAAAAGGATTGCACTGCTTGCTTTCTAGCTGCTAGTGTTGCAGACCTAATATGGCTATAGAAGAGCAAGATGATAAATTTGAGTCTGATTTATGACACAACAGGGTTCTTTACTGCAAAATTTCTATTTTTTTGATGCTATAGGAATTGAAAAGAACTTAGCTAAGGTTCCAGGTTGAGTTTACAGGGTTGGCAGCTAAAAACATAGTGGTCTAGAAGATGTGCAACTGCAAATAATAATAAAATAAAAATAATATTTTTTTATGACTAGCTCTTTATTTCAAGAATAAGTAGATTTCTGTGTTTAATTCTTATTTTACAAGTAAATGAGCTGATATCCAGATAATGGTACTTCACAGTATTTGCTCTGTTTTTGAGACATAAAGTTCATAGTGGCAGTTTATGGATTCTTAGCATTATTATAAGTCTTAACTACAGTGGTCTCATCTAAACCTTGTCAGAAGTAGAGCCATATTCTTAATATGCCTTACCTTTTTAATTGCTAGCTTAGGTTTGGTCCAAGTCCAAAGCTACTATTGGTCTTGCTGTATTATGGCTTTGCCATTTTGTTCCAAACAAACCAGAAACTGCCCATTTCTTAATGGGGAATTTTTCTACATCAAATAATACATCACAGTTTACACTAATTTGGCTCTCAAGAATATGTATTAATGATAATAGAGATTGCCTTAATGTCATCTTATAAGTGACCCTTCCTTGACAGAATTCAGGGAAACTTACAGTAATTTAAGAACTGCATACCAGTGCCTATGCTGTTTCTGGTTTGACAATAGCACGTTTAAATAACTTGTTTAATGAACAGGGATCCAGATTTTCAGTTTCCCATGGAAAAAATGGGGAAAAAAAACTTGCGACTTTTCCCTTTTTGACCAAGAAAAATGTGGATTTTTCATTTTGACAGAGAAACATGTTATCTTCCACTCTTGCAAAGAGCTCCCTGCAGGCTGGCAGATTTCTGGCCTGCAGGGGTGTGGGGAGTAGGAGAAGGGCAATCAGGCAGGGGGCGCCATATGCATGCTCACACATGTCCATGGCCACCTTGCAGCCTGGAGAACAGCTCCCCGCAGGTAAGTCTGGCAGTGGGCAGGGAGGAATTGAGGACTCTATGGGGAGGGAGGGATGGAGAGAGTGAGCTGGGCGGCTGCTGCGGGTGGGTGGGTGGGTAG